ATTACACAATTCTTGTCCTTTTTAGGAAAAAGCATCAACTTATGATACCAGCTATTATTAAATTACAACTACTACTCAGCCTACTTTTTTGTTTTCTAAATTTTGCTGGCAGGAAACAAAATGATGGAGAAAGTCAGCCACTACTGCAGCAGCAGCAACAACAACAGCAGATGGTTCCCCTGCAAGACAGCTACATGCAAAGTAGAGCTGAAGCCCTTCAAAATGTGGAGGCTACAATACATGAGCTGGGCAGTATTTTTAATCAACTTGCCACATTGGTTTCTGAGCAAGGGGAGATAGCAATCAGGTACACATGGACATTTTTAGCTTATAATCTTAGTGCGATGGTTGAATGCAATGGTTGAATATAGCGTCATGTAGCCAACATATTCATGCAACAACCAGAAAAGAGAATAAAACTAAAATACAACAAGACTTGAAACCAAGACACTTAAATGCTATACAAAAGACTAAGGAAGAGCTTCCCTGTCAGTTTTGCCTTCTCCGCTTTCTCCGTTTTTATTAACACCTTATCGACCCCCCACATAACATGAGAGGGCATGCATAGTTTGTTTGAATTCATATTTCTCGTGTTCTTGTCTTTAGGCATGAATAACAGTGACTACCATATTTTGTTTTTAATGTATAAAACTATTTGTACTATTTCAAGATGTTGCATATATCAATGTGCACCCTAATCTAAAAATAAATGTAAATACAATCAAGGTAAGCGATTCTAAGGTACTTCCTCTATCCCATAAAAAAGTCAACTTTGATGAATGTACTCCTTTTAAATTTAAGGTACAACTCTTTGGAAACTCTTTGAAAGCACTAAATGTACCTAAAAAGAGTCTACGAACTTTTGATGTAGTTTTTTAAATATGCAAGTTATACTTTTTATTTCTATACCAATTTGTAAATAGAATCATTTTTAAATAGATGGTGTTTTGCACATTGTTCGAAACATGAAAGGTTTTTGGGACAGATGGAGTAACTCTTTTTACGGGGTGGATGCATTACTTAAATATAAAATGCAATACACTTCTGATTAGCAATGGCCTAATCCTTACAAAAACACTTGTTATACCTTAATTAGTTAATTTTAATCTTGAGCATGAATTCAGATGGGGGCAATTCCCATGTCAGTTTCCCATGACAATGTCATGAAATGACCCATGTGCCCTACGCTGCCCCGTTCACAAAATTGACGGTTTCTATCCCCCCGATAAACCCCCCCCACCTGACTTAGGAGTCAAATAAACTTGAGGGGTGCTACCTGCAATTGAAGAGGGTGGGGTGGGGGGTAGAAATCGTCAATTCTACGAACGGGGCACCGTAGAGCTCCCAAGTCATCCCATAACATTGCTAAGCAATGTCAAGGGTTGTTAAGCAATGTCAAGGGAACCAAGGTGATTTCAGATTTTGTCAAAATTCTTTTTTATTTGGTCGGTCATGAATTTCTACCAAGATTAAATTTGGCTCATACCTTAGCCTAATATCTTGTGTCTAGGCTCCAATTAGTTTCACTTGGATATCATCTAACCTGGCCGGAGTAAGGGCATTGTTCTGCTCTATTCGCTTGTAAAACATGATGCGGATAACCCGGACTGATTTTTTTTTGTCTGATGTAAAATATATGTGTTTCTGACATTGTCTACTTTTCTTCAAAGTTATCCCCCCTCTTTCCCACAATTATCTTTTCACTTTCCTATTTTGAATTTCCTCAAAAAAAATTTCCACTTTCTTTTTAATGAAAAGATATTGTGGTTCGTATTATTTTCATTCTTGTCTGTACACAAACCACAACCACATAAGTTCTGCTCCATTCAAAATTGTGTCAATCCCATCCAAGAAGATAATTACGGGACGGGGGGTTGGTCTGGAGTAACATACTAACATCAATTAGAGTAAGTAATGCTACTGTTTGAAGGAGAATGAACAAAGTAATATGAATTTAACAATTTTGGGAGGGGCTATTGCAGGATTGATGAGAATATGGAGGACACACTTGCAAATGTAGAAGGGGCACAAGGGGCCTTGCTCAAGTATCTCAACAGCATCTCATCTAATAGGTGGCTCATGATTAAGATATTCTTTGTCTTGGTTTTCTTCCTCATGATTTTCCTCTTCTTTGTGGCATAGTAAAAACTGGAGTAATTGTCTAAGGAAAAAAATGGAGTAATTATAATCTATATACAGCTTTTATTATGTTGAATGATGATGACCGAACACTTGTGAAGATCCCATATACATTTTTTTGTATGATAAGAATTTTTGTAGTATTTGCGTTGTGAAGCAAATATTTATTCCGTATATCATACGTATATGATACGTCTCATTTTTCGTTCGATATATTGGATTATGATGTGATTATATCTGCAATTTTGGAACATTATGTTTATGAAGTTCATGCGTGCATCTATGCCCCTATGGTGTATCAAAAGTATGTGTTTGTGTCTAGGTTACAAACTTAATAGACATGCATTTCTATATAAATTGTGAATTATTATAAACGTATGTATTTTCTTATAAGAAAAATTATTCAGAATAATCTTAATTTTACCCGTTTTTTTGCAAAAAATAATTTCTCTCTTCACTGTGATGCATAATAATAATGATTTTACTGAAATTTGGAACTTTTGGATTGTCATTTAATTGCTAACGGCTGGTTAATGGAAATGACTGATTTTGCACGATAAGATGAAACTTTAGATTATTTAATTTCCATTTTTAGGGTTAAGTGTCCAAGCTATAGTATTTTTTGTAAAATGTTTGTTTAAAGTTTCTAAATATTCCATAATTTAAAAATAAAAAATTATATAAAGAGTTATTTTTATTTTCTTAAAAACTTTAAAAAACATAATGCTATAGCTATGGTTCAAACTTAAAGTCATTGATATAATTTCTGCTATTACAAAATGTATATTATGCAAATATTTCAATTGAGTGTTTTTTAATATTAATCAATTTATTTGAAAAAATAAAATCGCCTCTTTCCTTTATAAAATTTTTAATATTTCTTTTAAATATATGTAAATTTTATTTTTTAATTTAGCAACAAAACTCAATTGATATAATTTTACTCAAATGTCATAAATTCTTTAATCTAGGTATTTATAAATGAGAGAGAGAGAGAGACTGTGTGTGTCTATATATGTGTGTGTGTGTGTGTGTGTGTGTGTCTATATATATATATATATATATATATATATATATATATATATATATATATATATATATACTGTCCAGTTCTAGTGACCCCGGAGAACGGTGCCACTAGCGGCGCCACTGGGTTTTTGGGGCACCTCCGGTGCTCCGTTCGTAAAATTGACGGTTTCTACCCACCCCCCGCCCTACCCCCACCCCTGCACCCCACCCCAACCCCGCCGTAACCCCCCCCACAAAATGTGTGGCTATTATGCATATTGCATAATAGCCACACATTTTGTGGGGGGGTTACGGCGGGGTTGGTGTGGGGGTGCAGGGGTGGTTGTAGGGTGGGGGTTTAGGGGGTGGGTTAGGGGGGTAGGAACTGTCAATTTTACGAACGGAGCACCGGAGGTGCCTCAAAAACTCAGTGGCACCGTTTTCTGGTGTCACTGGAACCTGACCGATATATGTGTGTGTGTGTGTATATATATATATATAATTTTTAAATATGTTAAACTACTAGTTCGACCGATTCAGTCACCGATCCAATTCTAAAAACTATGGTTCAGAAGCTACTTTGGTTGAAGCTTTAGCTTCAAAGAGGCTTTATCGTGACTGAGGGATCGTCGAGTTCGGGATGTGGAAGCTTGCGAGACTTTGGTCCCTACACTTAATCAAGGAAGAGGCTATCAAGGCTCATCTTATCTGGGTTTCATCATGGAAGCATGCATGGATATGACACTTTTCTTTTCTCATTTATCTTTTCACAATCCCATTGTTGGTATGGTGTTCTGCCAAATTGTGTTGCTTATTTGAGTGAGAATTACTTTTTCTTTAAAAAAATCTTTTTATTTTGCAATTGAATCTTTTCGAGTTACATGACAGAATATAAAATAGTTTTTTAAACAAATTAAAATAGATTTAAATTTTTGCATGATTTTATTAGTGAATATTTCATTACATATTATATTTTAACCATTTAAGAGTAACGAACAAAATATCGAGTAATTTTTAATTTTTTTGTCCTATAATCTGTGTTTAACGAAAATTAACAACACCCTAATGGAGCTTGATTCAAAGTATTTTTTTATCATAATAAAATTTTGAGTTATCGATGTTAGAGTTGAATCATGAAAATGTAGTAATCCTGAACTTTTTTATGCAAGTTAACAAATTAGTTTTTTTAACAAATTAATATTTTATAGTAATTCATATTTATATGATAATTTTTTAATTTTAGATATGAATATATTCGTTTCATTTAAGAATTTAGAAAGTACTCCGTATTTATGTGAGATTGTTGAGGTCAATATTTTCAAAAAAAGAAATAGAAAACCATAGCAATTTCCAAACTCTACCCACACATGAGTAGTATTTAGCGGATAGTCCTTATATAAACTTCATCTTCTTCGTCTTCTTCTTCCGCAATCTTCACTTCTGCATCCATCGAAACCCTAACCCCACCAGTCTATCAATCCCCCTCCATTCACATCCATATCTCTTCCCTTTAACGCTCGAGATCTTCATCTTCATATGCGATCTCGTGTTCCTGCAATCGGATGCGGCTTTTACTCGTCGTCTTTCTCTCATCCGAACGATAAATCTACAGATCTTATCAGGAACGCGTAGAGCTTAAAAAAAGTGGAAAAAACAAAATTGTATTGCCGAATCTTAAGCCACATAGACAGAATTTCAGTAGTCCAGTGATCGTTTTGAAACTTAAAGGGAGAAATCCTATTCCCCTCCGATTATCTGTGTTGGATTTTGACGAAAGTTTGATATACATATTTTTTGTGCTTGATATTGTTTATATCGGTTACTGCTTGTGTTGTTGAATCTGAAAGCGTGGACTGCGGTTTCAGAATCTGCAATTCCATCGTGCTTTTTTAGCTTGTGTTTTTGAGCGAGCGTGAGTTCTGAGAATTTTCATCGGAAATGGTGGGAGGTAAGATCAAGAAGGAGGAGGGGTCGTTTGTGATGAGCAATTCCAATGTTTTTGCTGCGCTTGATAGTTTGAAGAAGAAGAAGAAGTCTGATAAAGAGAAGGGATCTTCCAAGAAGAAGCAGACGGTCGAGGTTGTCAAGGAGCCTCCTGTGATCTGGTCTCCAGCTCCATTGAAGGTGAAATCGTGGGCTGATGTTGAAGATGAAGATGATGATGATTACTATGCTACCACTGCCCCTCAATCTTTGTGGGGCCTTAACCAACCTAATGCAAAGAAACCTGAGCCTGTCGAGGTACCAACGAATATTTTTCTCATCTGGTTTTAAGCATCTCTTCTCTATATCTATGTATAGAAGATACCTGATTTGCCCCCTCAGTGCATGCTAATATTCTATGCTTCATAACATTGTGATTGGAAGGATGCAAAATTTTGACATTAGCCCATACTAGTTGAATCACAGAGTTAGATCTGATTCATTACCAACAGTATTGCCTATTTTACACTTTGAGCATAAGTTACATGCCATCTAAAGCTTTTAATAGTTCTCAATAAGGCAGTGTTTGTTTAGTTTTTTGATAAAAGTAGTTGAGTTCGAATGAGGATTGAATTAGGGGCAATATCTTGAGAACCTATATGTGAACATCTTGCTGGCCCTTGTGGCTCCATGCGGAATTACTTTTTGGCTTGTAACCTTTGATCTCCAGTCGGCCTTCATGGGTTGGGTGGACAATCATTGGGCTTTTCTATGTGTCTTGAACCTTAGATAATGACATTAATCCATGACATTTTGGCCCAATTGGCTCTTTGGGATAGGTCATTATGAATATGCTTGCAAGTTAATGAGATTGTTTTAGGAATAGAATCAAATAAGATGTTTTGTAAAATAATGATGTACCGGTATTTCATTGGAGATGTTGTATGTGAAGCAATATTTCATTGGAGACATTTGCTCAAGATATCTCTTAACTTTTCAGATGCAAAATATTCTTTAGTAGGATATATTTTGATCCTTTTTTTAAATTCTGTGTACAACCCAATACAAAACGTTCTTATTTTATAAAATAGTTAATGTAGAATAGCTTGTATTTTTAAAACTTCTTTTTCCCGGTGTCAACTCTTCGAGAGAGGTTTGTGCAAATCCATGACAAGGGTGCATGCATTTGAGGTACTATGCATTTCTTAAGCATTTGGCACGCATTGCACGTGATTGCACTGATGTGTGTGGTGCAAGGATACTATAAGTTGTTTTTTTACGGAGTAGCATTTAAGCTGTTCCTGACCTGGACAATAGTACGATCTCCTTCCTGTAGAGTTTAGTATTTTTCAATTCAATTACTGCAGGAAAGTGAGAGTGATGAAGATCTACTTGGTGAAGTTGATGATGATGGTGAGGATGAGCATGAACACAAAGCTGATGTCTCTCAGCATTCTGAGCCTATCCAGAGCAAGGCTGCAGTGACTTCACAAGCACCCAAGGAAGCAGAGCGACAGCTTTCAAAGAAGGAGATACGGAAGAAGGAACTTGCTGAACTGGAAGCTCTTTTGGCTGATTTTGGTGTTGCACAGGGTGACAAGGTTGCGGGGGAAACATCTGGTATTACATAAATACTTTGAACTTGATTTTCTATGTTTGGATCCCCTCTGGACATGTTTGGATGGAGGGTTTTGGAGGGTAATGATTGGAGGTTTAAGTTTATACCTTACACACATGAAATTTTATGAAAATTGAAAAAATTCCATAATAGGTGCTCACATTAACTTTCAATCATCATTAATTTATTTCTTCTACCAATAATAATTAATAGACTGAACTCTCCAAAGCCATTCTCCCCTCAATCTGAACCCACCCTTAAGTTTTTTGTTGGATCTATTTGGTATCGGATGGAATTACTGAGAACTGAATGCTCAGAATATAGTAAAAGCATGTCGCGATGATGCAAATTCACCCAGGTATAGTGGAGGTATGTAATGCTTCTAAGTTCCACTTCACGAATTTAATATTTCAGGAATTTTTTATTGCAAACATGGCATATGTCATGATTCGTCACAATAAGTCTGGGGAATTGAGTGCTTACCCAAAGTAGGAACCGTGTCATCAAATGTTGGGTTTGTTTGTTGTTATTGTTGTATTATGATGATAGTATCTGTTTCTCTCCAAAAATTTAATTGGACAGGGTCTTGTTCAACTTTATATACGCATATTCTGGTTTATACTTTGATCTATTCAATCTAGAATTATGTTTGAAATTTCAGATGCTGCACAGGAGAAGATAGAGGCGCAACAGCAAGAAGAGGAGTCGGAAAAGAAGAATGGCGGACCCGGAGAATCTAAGGCTGCAAAGAAGAAGAAAAAGAAGGATAAATCAGCAAAGGAATCACAGGAGCAGAAGCAACCAGACAAAAGCTTGGATTCAGAAGTGATCAATGGAGGTGGGACCGAGCAGCCAGCCGAAGAATCGTCATCATCATCATCATCAGTCGTAAATTTGGAGAGACTGAAAAAGGTTGCTTCTACAAAGAAGAAGAAGTCGAACGCCACAGATGCTGCTGCAAAAGCTGCTGCCATGGAGGCTGCCGCCAGGAATGCAAAGCTTGCTGCAGCTAAGAAGAAGGAGAAGAACCATTACAACCAGCAGCCGACTCGGTAAGAAGACGAAAAAAAACGATTACGAGGTTTTAATCAGCAAGCCCTAGCGATGAAAGTTATCGGTTCTCTGGGTGCAGAAAGTAGGATTGGTAATTTTTTTTCATCCTTTTGCGGACTATGCAATAAAATGGGGAGTTGAAGGCTTTGGGAGGTTTTATTTTTTGGTTGACAGTTTATATTTAGAAATCTAAAGACTTTTTTGTGCCAGACAATTTTTGTTTAAATGGAAGTGATACTTGATGTGTATCATAATAGCACTTTCTTCTTTCTTCTACGAGTAACATTTATATACCCCATGTCAATTTCTGGTTTTAATGTAAGGGGCATTTGCTTCCTCTTGGTGTCACTCACTTTTAGAATGAATCCTTTTTCATGGTAAGATCTGAAATATTTTTATATCACTAGATTCAATTTCTTACGCGTATTTTATAAATCGAAACCATTTCTATCTATTCTCTCTTTTTAACCAATATTAGTTTTTCTAACAGATCTAGGGTTTTATCTCTGCTCGTTTTTCATATGATAATTTGTGGTTTCTATGATTTTTTTTTAATTTTCCCAAAGGGTTATATGATGAAATTTCAGATCTTGAAGAGCAATTTGATGAAATTCTTTATCTTTAACATTTTTCTAAAATACTAACGCTAATGGAAAATATTGTTTCCAAAACAAGGATTACAATTCGAAAAGAAAGAAGTGAAAGAATCAAAATTGGACAACGGAAACAATGTATAAATCTTTTAAAAAAAATGCCATATTTCAATGGAGGTAAACATTTCCGGTCATTAAATGTTGCAGTGGATTTAGTGCAAATTGTACAAAAGGAAAATTTAAACCAATCTGGGTAAATATTACACACATTTTCTTTCTTCCTGCACAAGTATCTTAAACGATAAGTCAAATCATTTAATTTCATTAAGCAAGAAGAAAGAAAATGTGAATCCCATTACAATATGATTCTATGGAGTTAGACGGTCATCCGCTTCTACAAGGGGATCAAGAAGAAGAAAGAATATGGTTATAATTAGGGTGTGGGACTGTGGGAGAATATGGTTCAAATCAGATATGGAAAGATACCCATAAAAGAACCACATACGTAATATTTGATGAAATAAGACTAAATATATAGAAAATGCCCTAATTATAACCCTATTCTTCTTCTAAATCATTTGGACTAAATTAATACTCTCTCCGTCTAAATTTAAGTTGTCTGTTTACTATTCACAAGGTCAAATTTTAATAACTTTTTTATCTATTTCTGTTACTTATTTGATAAAATAATATAGTTATTTCACATTTCGTTTCGTAGAACTTTTGATGTCGTTTTTAAAATATAATTTTTGTTTTTAATTTCACCCTAGCTCTCAAATAAAATGAATTGAAAAAAAATTCAATCAAACACCGTAAATCGAAACAAGTGATTTTATTTCGAGGAGAAAGAGTACTTTATACTAAAATTATTTTGTTAACGTCATAAATGAAAATTGTAATCTAAGTGGATAGATATTGATATCTTGTTCTGAAATGAGTAGCAATAGAACTAATCTTTCTCATTAAACTCAGTCTTAAATAAATCGGTGTTCAAAAAAATCACCTCAAATAAAAATAAAACATATTATTTATCTTCAAAATAAAAGTTTCATACATATTTTTATTTTCAAAATAGATGTGAAAATTAATTAAGACTGACATATGATCCATATTAACTAATTAAGTTTTGCCTGACACTCGCGCACTGTAATTACAACCTTATTCTTCTTCTTAATCCACACTTTGCACAAGCTCTAGATCACCCAACTCCTTATTATTGTGTAATATGGCCAATTAGTTGAAATACATAAAGAAATTATGTATCTGCATAAATTCATAAACTAGAGCATGAGATTATATATTATGTCATGTATAATTTTTTTTATGGTTCGTATAACTTAATTATTCTAGTTTATGAATTTATGCAGATACATAATTTTTTAAATAATGTGCAGTCTCATAATTATTCTTTTTTAATTTACATGATAGTAAACTACTCCCTCCGTCTCATAAAACATTTCCTGTTTCAAAAAATGCGCGCCTTCAAAATGAGTAATTTTGGTGTTATTTTCTAATTTTGCCCTTACTTTAAAAGAGTAGGATGAGATGTGTAGAATAGATTAGTCATAATTAAAAAATAACACTAAAATTACTCATTTTAAAGTCGTGCCATTTTTTGAAATAGGAAATGTTTTATGGGACGGAAGGAGTATGTTCTAAAAATTATGAATATTTCATTAATCTAAATTGACCTGGAAAAACATCAATATTTTAAATTAAAAACAATAGTTATACTACCATATGTGTCCCTAATTAAATGAAATTTATATTGATCATGTAATCAAATTTTATTAATTTTTTTACTACCTCCATCCCTGAGTATTTGTCCAATTTTGATTTTTTCGGTCAACTATTTTCAACCTTTGACCAATAATTAAATAAAATATATATTGTAAATTAATTAGATAAAATAATATTTTGAAAATATTTTATATAATAAATATAATAAAAATATTTTTGTATCAATATCTTATATCATTTTTATTTAATTTGAGGTCAAAATTTACCAATTTTGACTGAAAAAAGTTAAAAGTGGACAAATACTCAGGGACATAGGGAGTACCTATTATGAATATAATAATAATAATAATAATAATAATAATAATAATAATAATAATAATAATAATAATAATAATAATAATAATAATAATAATAATAATAATAATAATAATAATAATAATAATAAATAAGAATGATAACTCTCTCCGTTTCAATTCCTAAAACCCTTCTTCTTTCATTTTTTTGTTTTTTTTAAAACACTTCCTCTTTCACTTTTTTTCCTAAACTACCCCTAAACCTAATTTTACCCAATCCCCTCTCCCACCTTATCCATCCCATTGTCACAACCCCACCCCTCATCTAGAAAGATCCGCCCTTCGTTCTCCTGGCGATTCTTCTCCTCTCCTCACCTTTCTTTTTTCAGAATCGGATTAGCTTCATGGCTCCACCCTCTTCTCTAGATCTGAGCATCCCCTCATTTCGCTTGCTCTCTATTAGTGATGAGGACCAACCTAAGGCTCATCGTACTCAGAAATCTTTGAGCAAGCGCAAATGATCCATAGCTGCCTTGAAATGTCATGTTGATCCGCTTTCATCAAGTTCATCTGACACTGATCCTTCATGGAATTTCTGGAAAAAATACCTAGGGGGTGAGCATCTACCAGATGAAATTGAGTGGGGATCAGATCTGGAAGAAGATTCATCAGATCTTGAGTCTTCATTCAACACTGATGAGATTCGAGAAATGAGCTCGGAAACAGAGGTGTTGTTGTCCGAGCCAGTAGGAAGTCCATCCAAAATTGAAAGATATAAACAGAGTAATGTCCTTCAATCCTCTCTCCTTTACACCTTGCGCATATCTCTTGCATGTTGTTTTTGGGCAAACTAATGATGCGAACAAAAATTTATCTTAAAGTTTATGAAAGTTTCCTAATTGTAACGCCACCCTTTTTTGGTTTGGAGGCTTACAAAGCTCAATTACGGTTAGATGTTTGGTCAGGCATTAGTGAATGTGTTTGTGGAATTTCTTCTGTGTGGCAGTGAAGATTATGCTTCCCTCTTTTGTTATGGTTACCGTGTGAAACGTAAAGCTTTTGGTGGATAGAAGGTTTCCACTATTCATGACAACATAATCATTATTACGCTCCTTAATTGTAATCTTCCTTTGTTATCAACCCCACGTGAGATATGTGTAAATTGGGAAAGTCTTTGCCAGAAATTGGGTTTCTTATTTTGGCATTAAGTCATGATGGATGTGAGATGTGTGGTATATATCCTGTGTGAATATCTGATTCTTTAGTGTCCCTAAAGTTTGAGCTCTCTTTCTTTAAGTGCCTATGATGGATTTTGAATATGTGGTTTCCTATGTGGTTCTCTAAGGCAGTTTGTCCCTAAATGACATGTGTGCCTTTCTTTGCTGCCTATGATGGGTTAGAAATGTGTTTTACCTGATGTGTTCTCTAAGACAGTTTGTCCCTAAGCTTTCAGGTCCCTTTCTTTACTGCCTATGATGGATTTTGAATGTGTGGTACCCTATGTCATCTTTGAGGTAGTTTGTCCCTTTGGTTTGAGGTCCCTTTCTTTACTGCATATGATGGCTTTTAAATGTGTGGTATCTTATGTGTTCTCTCTAAGGCAGTTTGTCCCTATGTGTTCTTTGAGTCCCTCTCTTTACTGCCTATGCTGGATTTTGAATGTGTGGTACCCTATGTCATCTCTAAGGCAGTTTGTCCCTTTGGTTTGAGGTCCCTTTCTTTACTGCATATGATGGCTTTTAAATGTGTGGTATCCTATGTGTTCTTTCTAAGGCAATTTGTCCCTATGTGTTCTCTGAGTCCCTCTCTTTAATGCCTATGATTGAAGTCAATTCTCTGAGGCATTTTGACCCTTAACAGTCCTTTGAATATACAAATGCAAAGAAAAGACTTTTTATAGTGATATAATGATGGTTTTACATATCACATGTAGTACTACATCATTACAAGATGTATACATTCTTTACTGCATATG